AAACGAACGGGGAAACATTTCACCTCATTATTGATTTAATTTTTTTTCGGTTTCGTAAGGAGCGCGTAAGCAATTCCACGTGAAAAAGTACTTTCAAAATTGCAGTATTCTGATAACTTGGACTATGGACTGGTTTCGGTCATTTTGCTATTTCATTTTTATCAGGAACACAAAAGACTGGATAACAGAAAGAGGTATCATTCGTGGGACGGAGATAAGTCGTTTTAGCCTGCTATTCTAATTTCTCGCCAGAAGTCGTGTCTTTCATAATAAAAAAAAATAATCACATGAAATGAACAGAACTTGGGCTTTCAGTAAATGTTTTAAGTAGATTAAATTATTGGATCTTCCAGGGATCTGCAAATATTTCACTAGGAGAGCGACGCACCGGAATCGGATTGGTGGCGGCGGGGAAACTTTTCAAAGAAGACAAAGCAGACAAAGGCTATTAATGAAGTAATATGCACTTTCCCCAAGCGGATATTCGCCTACGGCTCATTCCCCCTAATCCCCTTCCCTCACAAAGTATTTGTTTGAAGGCAAACGGAAACGCTTGTACTAATTATTGAGAGGTTTCCGGAAAATCCCGTTAGAAAGTAAATGGAACAGCACTTTTTGGGTCGTTCCAGCGGAAAATTTCCGTGAGTAGCGGAACGTCTGAAAAGGTTGTCCTTTTTTCCTTACGGAATTTTGGAAACTGAAATTCGTGTTCCATTTGTGAAATCGCACCTTTGATACCAGTTTCAGGCCTTCGTGGCCGTTTCTCGGCAAAAGGGACTAAATTGTCCAATGGTAAAACGCTATTCCTAGACGAACTTTACCAGTCTTAAGGTTGCATACCATCAAGAGCCATAATGGCTCTTGATACCATTTATCCAAACCGTGAACCGACCGGTTTGCCCATGTAAGACCATGTAAATGGCAAACAACCCGCTTCCTTTCCTAGTTGCAAATTTCATATCAGTTTGATCCAGGAGAATTATCTTAGACCGTCTTTATCTGTTCATTATACACGAAAAAAGAAATTAAAAAACTATGTGTCAGTTTGAATCTGATATCGGCAGTTTCTCGCGATCGCGAATCGCTAAATTTCTCTTTTATCTCGATATAATAGCCTGCTTGTCAAAACTGTCTTGGCAAAGTGGACAAATCGATCAGCATTCTTAAGTTATTTAAGTGAAATGTTAATTGTCTTAACTTCCTCTCGAAAGAGATTCGAAAGACTGATACTAGAGTATGAAATATCCGGAAGTTAAAAAAATTGAAAGTGCTCTCAGCAAACTACGGTTCATTTACAAATCTAGTAATTCAGTATTGAGTCGAGAGGTATTGACGGCGTTTAAACAGATTCATTGACTGTTACTTGGTTTGGTGATATGGCGAATAACTAAAACCGATGTCGTCTAAAAATGTGATCTACGTAAATAATTTAGGGCCTCTTCACATGAGCCCGTTTGACCGGTCTCGCCGGCTTACCGGAACGAATTTCGCCTTGGGTTCATATAACAAATTTCAGCTCGGTTTCCGAGAAGAGAAAAGGCCAGAGATCGTGGTGACGAGTTCTGGTTCCAAATTCGAGAAACAAAGAAAACATGACGAAACACAAAAATTATAACTTTCGTGCCTATCAAAGCTACGGCGACTCTTAAATTTATTAAAAGTGGATGCTTATGATTGTGGAAAATACAGCAGGAAATGCAAGACGATGCTATTCCGTGATCCCCCTTTCATCGCGGTAACCGGGCTAAAGTGTTCATATGGCAAAATTTCCAGCCCGACCGAAATCTCGGGAACCGAACCACCCGCCCTCTCATATGAACACATCGAAAATTTTTCAAAGGATTTAGAGGCAAAGCGAGATCTTGGACAGTCTCGCAAACCGGGCCCATATGAAGAGGGGCCCTTAATCTTCTTCTTTGGGGTCTTTTGGGTTATCATATGAATTTTACATTTTCGAGAATATAACGACACATTTTCGCCGAGGTGTATCGAAGGAAAATCTTTCAGTATTCGTCAGTCCGAACGTAATTTTCTCAAAGGTTCGAAAGTTAGGGATAAGTTTGTAATTTTTGACGCAGGAAAAGGAGTGTGTTTTAAGAAAAAAAATCATCATTAAGAAGTTTTTCTAAAAAAAATCGAAAGTAATTAAACTCCAATATAACTGATATATACTGCGAGTTTTGACGGTTGAATGCAACATGCCTATTAATTTTTCCAGTTTTAAGTTGCCTATTAATTTTTCCGTTCTAAGTTTAGATCGATGTACTGCAGGATTACCTTTCAAGATGAAGCACAAGAGAAACCAACGTACACCAACGCAGTAACGACTTGCACTTGCCATCATTATCAAGTAGTCGGTGCTAAATATTTAAGGGCTGTTTAATCCTACGGTGAGTTCGTCAATGTGTACATACAGGCGGTAAATCACTCACTTTAATTTGATCTTGGTTTTGGCGAATTTCCTGGTTTTGTAGCAGCTCTCACGCAACCCGGTCGCGGTCGAGTATCGTACTTATTGGCCAAGAGAAATATATGATTCACGTGACTTTGTGTAAAAGTCACTGTTACACTTAGTTTATAACCGAAAAATAACCAAAGCTGAATTAGCTTCAGTTTTGTTGCTATTACAATACTTTTGTATAGTCAGTATTTCCACAGGTAGCCCAAGCTCGAAATATGAGCATTGGTGAACATCGGCATTGTTGCGTAACACTGATTTCGAAATATAAGGATTTGTATGGAGGAAAAACCTATCGTTTCCGTAACCTACGAAAATGAAAGGATTTCAATAAAAAACAGCTTACCTTACATAAAATGTGTGTGTGGTCCATGGGCCGATTTATGTCCTTTTAATGGGCTGTCCTGTAAATGGTTTTCTCGGTTTATATAGGTATGTATAGAGAGAAAACCGTTTACAGTACAACCCATTAAACGGCCAGAAATCGGCCCATGGACTACACAGGAGAGACGTAACACACATTTGGTGTAAGGTAAGCTGTATTTTATTAACATCCTTTTATTTTTGTAGGTTACGGAAACGATAGGTTTTTTTTTTCCATACAAATCCTTATATTTCGAATGTTATGCAACAATGTCGATGTTCGCCGATGCTTATATTTCGAGCTTGGGCTACCTGTGGTATTTCAATTGACGAAGTCGGGTTCCAGGTAAGGCCTTATGGTAGCTTGTAGATCCCTTGATGACTTGGTACTTCACGGTGGTCAATGGCAAACGGTATAAAACCTCACCACAAATGATAGTCTTTGTCGTTTTATGTCAGAAGAATCGTGCTTCATGCCCCCCGGCGGTCCAAGCCCTAGAAAAGAAAACCTGGCAACCCGGCAGCAATGGGTAAAAAGGTGAAAAGCGGAATCAGCAACTCTAGTACTTGTCCTTAAAAAAATATTTTGTGTGTTTTTTGTATGTTTTTTGTATGTTTTTGTCAAGAGCTAGGTATTGGGGTACTATCTAAAATTAGACATTATGCAAACAGAAACATATTACTTCAATTATATTATTCACTTATTTACCCCCTCCTCACCTACGGTTTATCAATTTGGGGCAATACTTATAGTTCTACTCTCAGACCTTTGATAATTCTTCAAAAGAAAGCAACACGTATTATAACTTTTTCGGAACCAGGTGATCACTCTGAGCCTCTTTTTAAGAAATTAAACATTCTTAAATTAACTGATCTTGTTACCCTTCATAATGCACTCCTCATGTATAACTATCACCATAATCGTCTTCCATCTTCCTTTGAAAATTCTTTAAAACGGTAGCATCCATACACTCATACAATACCAGGCTTGCTTCTATATCAACCTATTACCTCAATTCTATCAAAACAAACTATGGTAAATTCAACTTTCGCTTTGCGGCTGTAAAAGTTTGGAATAACCTTGATGAAAGCATTAAACACCTCCCCCTTAAATCCTTTAAAAACAAAGTCATGTTAAACATCTTACAGTCTTACTGTTCGTGAGTCTTTTTTTTTTCTTTTTCATTTTTTTCCTTTTATCTATTTACAAATTCCTTGTTTGTTCTACCTTTAGTGCCAACCTACTTGCTATGCCTGAACATTATTTAGCTTTACTCAGCTCTATTAGCTTTTTAGTTATTCTGAGTAAATGTTACCTTTTTTTGTATTAATATATTATTTTGTAAATTAAGTTAACTTTTATTTGGTAATATAGCTTATGTTGTTGTTAGATCATAATAGGACTTGGGGACCTTCTATCCCATACTGCCTGTTCACCTTTTGTTCTGAGCCCGTAGTAATGTCGCATTGCGGCTTTCCAGGTTCTTGCGCGGGGACTGGGCTTCACACCGTCAAAGTTGCGTCGTTGTAAACTTCGTTTGAAGTTGATGGGTTTTCTCTGCTTTGAAAGGTAACGTTTTTTATCCTTTGTAAAAGATCTTAAAATCAGAATCCTGCTGCAAACTGTAAGAAATTGTTTCGCCTGTCATCTTATCGCTGAAAGTTTTATTTAGCGAGAGCTGTAAATCGAGGACAGCCAAGTATTTCTAAAGTTACTACATGTACAGTACTCCAGTTGAACCTCTCTCCACAACGGCCGCCTTGGGGACAGAAGAACGTGGCCGTTGTAGAGAATTAATGTATGGACTGTCCGCCAAAAGGCCAAAAAAGGTGCCGTTGTAGAGAGGTTTTAGCAAGAGTCAATGTATGAACTGTCCGCCAAAAAAAGTGGCCTTTGCCTTTGGCCGTTAGTGGACGTTCGACTGTATTTCAGTATAAATTTTTTCAAAATTAAATTAATTTATAAAATGCTCCATTTCTGATGATTTCTATAAACCTTTAAGCTCTAACGCAGATAAAGAGGACATAAGAGTTAAACTGACTTCTCTGTATTGTTACGTAGAAAGCATAAAACGTGGTAACATCATACATTGTATGACTGTTTGTCAGTTTACTTTGTCTCTTTTTGTAGCCAGATGTAATACAAAGTGAAAAGATCAAACAGAACAACATATGCACAATGGGAAATACAGGCCTTGGGAAACACAGAGACGTTCATAGCTCAGATTCAACCTTGGAGTTTGAAACTGGCAAGAAAATGTTCCCCAGTGAACATGAAGCCAAGAGGATTTTGTCAGGTGCGTTGAAATGTTGTATCAGGACAAACTGCATGAGATGAAGAGTGCCTTATTACTTAACCCTTTAAGCCCCAATATCCACATACAAATTCTCCAAACTGATCTCCATAGATTTTCTTAAGAATTACTTGAGAGAATTTGATAAAAGATCATGGCATTTTCCCTTTGGTGATCATTTTATTAATTCTCATAACTTTATCTCTTGACAATGTATGGGTATTATTAGGAGAAAATTGTTTTTGGTCACTATTGGCACTTAAAGGGTTAATACTTGCCAAAGCACACGAATTATGCATGTGTCACATGCATTCAGATTGAAAATCCCAATCACACCTTTGATTGGCCAGCTCAGGGATGATTAGCCAAATACTATTCACCTCCCAACAACCAAAGAGAAGTAAATAGCTTTTGAGAATTAAAGTGGACTTTTTTATTGAGCACAGAGCATTGTATTCCAAAATAGTGGAATTTTGGTACTGAAGATCATTCATTTGATCACCTATTTTGTCATGTGACTTTGCAGGGTTGTCACTAAGGGCCGGGGTCGGGGATTTCCCCCGGCTACTCAGAGCATGGCCCCCGGCTACTTTCGTCGTTAAACTAAACCAAAAGAGCACACCTTTGAAACACACAAAGACTATCCATCAAACTAAATGCGAGTTTCATCTGCAGCAGGTTTAAGTTATTCTGAAATACTCGCGTGCAAAAACTAAGAAACGTCGGAAAAAGACATCTGACTTAGATTTGGTACTAGTACACACGCGCGAAAACTCTCCGTTCGCGAAATGTCGGTAGGGAGTTTTAGCAAAGACGACGGCGACGGCAACGAGAACGTCAAAAAAGCAATGGGTTTATTGAGCAAAACAACTAGTTTGCACATGCATCACGCTTTTTTGTACATTTCTTTGCCGTTACCGCATGACTACGACGTGAAAATGCCTATTTTCACGTTTTATGGAGGTCGTAAAACAAGCGACGACAAACTTTTCTTCCTCTTTCTAAACTTGAGTGTGCCCAAAAAAAATAAACTCCAGGGAAATTGGCCTACATTAGCTATTTTCAGCAAATTGAAATAAATGCGACAAAGTTGGAAAAAACGCCAATTCATTTTTAAAAGTGAAGTTTTCACTGCCGTCACCTTTGTCGATGCTAAAAGTCCCTAGTTTCAACCGTTGTGTAGGGTTTGTGTTGAGCATGTCGAAGAAGTGGCAAAGGATTCTGCACTCTTTGTTCACGATGAAAGACCTGAGCAGATCTCTGTTGACATCACAAGTTGAGGCATCATCCGAGGGTTAAATCTCCTTGATGCTGATGTTGATGATAATTAGGATTATGATGAAGGCTTTGAAGATGAAGACTATGACTGAGTATGTTAAGTGATGTTTCGTTCATAAATTCAAGACCACTAATGTCACCAGTTGTGCAGTTTAGTTTTGCCATATTTTATCCGGCGATTTTTCGTACGTTATGCTTGTTTTAGCCTTATCATACTTTTATATTTCAACAAGCCATAGTAACCTTATGTTTATGATGCTTTTTCGTACATTCAATAGGGCCATTTATACGAGGAAAAATAAGACGCGTCTTACATAAGACGCGTCTTAAATAAGACGCGAACTTTCCGTATAAATGGCAAATTTCGTCTAAAATAAGACGCGGCTTAGCTAAGATGCGTCTTATTAGATAAGACATGCTGGTATAAGTGGTACAGTTCGCGTCTTATGTAAGACGCGTCTTATATTTCCTCGTATAAATGGCCCTATTGTCCGCTTTTCTTCTTTCCGCCTCTGCGTGGGTTAATTCATTTGCAATATTGGTTTCACTTTTGTTTTCCGTAAGTTGTTTCGTTCTTACGTATAACTAAAATAATGAGGATTTACAATTGATTTTACAGCGCATGTTAATTAATTTGCACCGTATAAGAATCGATTGTCCTTTCAACATTTTTAGCATTTGTAATGTATCGTTGTGATTTAATACTTCACTGGCCAGCATGCACCTTGTCTGCGTGAAGATAAGACTGCGCAGATAACCTGACCGGTGCCCACCTGTCCTTTTTTTTTAGGCCCGGTGCTTACATGTATATTCCCATTTGGCAGCCACTAAAAAAAACCTCCAACGAGCCTTTACGTAAAGTAATTTAACTATTATTTTAGTGTCTCAGAATGTTGTAGTTTTCTTTAATAAAGACGTGATCATCATAAAACCGCTAATGATAGCTGTACTCTTGATGAAGATTGCTTTTTTGGGGCGGTAATGCCTTTTCGAAAACGGTAAAAGCTGCACTTCAAAACCTTCTTGGGGGAGGGGGGGTGGGAAGGGGCTCCATGACTGCTTGCGACTTCCCCGGCTACTAACAACAAATACCCGGCAGCTTGAAATCTTAGTGACAACCCAGCTTTGTGAGGATCAATATGCATTGCATGGTGCACAAGATTTCAAAATAAAAATTCATAGCATTTGGCCAAAAAAAATTAATTCTTTGGTTTGATAGTTACTTTTCTGTTCCATGTATTTCCTAAAATCAATTTATTTATTACTCACGAAAGTGTTGGTTAAAGTGGTGAATATTTTACAGCAAAGAGACCGCTTTTGATTTATTCACATTCTTTCGTGCAGATTTAATCCAATCAGAAGCCAGCTGGAAACTGTCCTCGACTTCTGATTGGTTAATGTCTGCTTGAAAGAATGTGAGTTTATTAACCCTTTAAGCCCTAAGAATGATCAGCATCAAATTTCTCCTTGTAATATCAATGCTTCGTAAAACAGAGTTGTCATGAGAATTACATACATGATCACACAAGATGAATTTGCTTGAAATTTTAATCAACTTCTCCCCACTACTTCTGTAGGAAATGAATAGGGGCAACAAATGAGAATTCAAATTTTGATCTAAGGGTTTAAAGGGTTAAAGGAGGTCACAGTTTTGGGCTCCTTGCTGTTATACCAAGCCATGAAGCAGCAAAGTAAATGCCCATCACTTTTTTTCACTTCCACTTTTGTTAATTACTGTTATTACTAGATTCTCTTCTGCTAGATCTATAAATTTATGAATCAAAGGGAATAAGAAGTCTCTGATGGCCTTATTCCACACATCCACTCAAAAGTATAATTCACTTACACCTGTATAAACTTATCTCTAGCAAGGGAACCAGATATGGACAGCTACAGTGACTATGATTATGAAGATGATGCCATGGAGCCGGAGCCACCACAGAAAAGAACAATACCAACAGTGTTTAGATGGGAGAACGGTGGCAGAGACGTGCTACTGGCTGGGAGTTTTAATGAATGGAAAGCAAGGATTCCCATGAACCTGAGGTTAGTGTTAACCATTTTGTGATCCTGTATTTAAATTTCATCCCGAACAAAATTGCTGAAAAGCGTTCACATACCGGCTCTATCATTTACCACTAGTTAAATTCTTATAGTGATGTGAGGATGGCCTGAAAAAAGAAGGTCTTGTAGTAGCCTTGCTTCTTTTTTTAGGAGAATTTTTGGTCCTTAAGGGTTCATACCAGGCTATTTTGGACAATTCAGGGTCAATTAACAATTATTGGGTTATTCCAGAAAAAATGTACCCCCCACCCCAACTTAAGACACATTTTTTACTCCCTGCTCTTCCAGCTGGATTTCCAAAATTGCTTGAGCTCCTCTCCCCTCAGGATTTCTAGGGTGCTTTGATTCTTTTTCTCTTTGCTACATATCTTAGGCACCTTTTTGCTAATATTTAAAGGAAGTGTAGATGATGATGTACTGTTTTTGTAAGTTTATATTATTATTGTTATTTGTTATTTTCTTTTTCTAGTCAAGGAGAATTCTCAGCTATAATTGAGCTTCCTGAAGGAGAGCATGAATACAAGTTTTGTGTTGATGGGCGCTGGATTCACGACCCGAATGCTGTGAGTACTTAGTACAAGATAATTTATTAAGATAAAAATCATTTTCCAACCATACATATGTCTATACAGGGTTCTCATAAAGTGCCGGTAGCCGGCTAAAAACCGGCTACTGGGAGGTTTAAGCCATCTACTTTTTTGGGAAATAGGGTAAAGTGATAGAGTGGAAGCCTCAAATTGCCTACAAAACTCAGTCGGCAAGGTGCCTACTTTTACATCTTAGCTGTCTACTTTAAAATGTAATGAGAACCCTGTAGTATGTTAATCATAATAATTTATTATGTTTGTATGTATTGTCTTCTTGCCAAGCAGCAGTTAAATGTTAAGAAGTAGTATTTTCACTGGAGGGGGGAGAGGAGCCATGACTGCAGAAATGACGTTTCCATAATATTATTCAAAGTGATCAATTACCTTACAAGGTGGTCAAAGCATTTTTTCTAGAAAAATAAAGCATTGTAAATAAATAAGACTAAAATTATGTCTAAAGTGACACACTTGCTCAATTAAAACTCTCACTTTGCAAAAGTAGACTAAAAACCAACTACAGTATATTACATTGCATTGCATGCACATTAATGCACCAATTACAACTATAAAAACCTTTCACAGGAGAACATAGATCTGATATTCTAAGTCAGCTTTGTTGCATTGATAAATCTTATATAATCCATTTCAAC